GGGAWKRRGGSSGGGRMCYTATACCCTAGTCGGGATGATGATAGTCGGGAATTTTCATAAATACTCCCAAACGTTTTCCGAGTTGGGYGTGGCCCTCTTTSTGAAYATTTTCAATGATGCACRCCSCTTKCACGAAATCATGAATATAASTTATTCTAATTAGGTGGGGGAGACAAMGAATTCGGTGTTCTACATGACAACAAGTTTCTTTACGAGTCATCGATGCCTGCGTACGAGGAGCAACACAGAAATCCTCCAATGTGGCCTTATACTCTAGACTATACCACAACAGAAGAGTGTACGATTCCRCCATGTCCAAAAGGTASGTTTATCCTTTACCGAATCGCAATCCAATCACATTACACTAATTTGTTTTGTCATAAAGTTATTTTTATTCCATGACACGCTTAAATTGTACTTTCTTTTTAACTACGTCAGGCCTGTTTCATATTGTGCTTTATAGCGCTATAAAACGTTTGATCGACCAGCCTTTGCCTAAGTTAATCCACCTTTGCCCAAATAAGGGTTCTCTCTGTTTCTGAATTTTTAAGCCGCAAACATTAAAACGTCAGTTTTTCTCAGAATTTCGGGTTTGTTGTGTTTTCTCTCGTTTGTTTTTTCTTCCATCTTCCTACTTCACCCGATTCACCATTAATCACTCTCTATTCTGTAATGAATTTCCGGAAAGCCTGGACCAGACTGGATGTAACAATAACCTGTTTTTTTGCAGCCTCATTTCCTGGACTTTGGGAAGTACCATTGATTGATTACACTGGTCTCCAAGGAGCACTGTGCGCAATGGTAGACGCGTGCAAACCAGAACCAACTACCCGTCAAGAAACAACACAATTGATTTACAGCAACTTTGAACGTCATTAYAATAGCAATAGAGCTCCTTTCCCTATGTTTATGCACGCTGCTTGGTTTAACCCTGAAAGATTGGATGGTATGTTGGGTTACCTGTGGTTAACCCCTTTCAATCTAACGTCACTTACACAAACAAGTAAATCATATTGATTCTACATTAATTCTTTGTGTTCCCCTACTCCAGGTATCAAAGATTTCATAAGGAAGGCTCTATCACTCAACGACGTGTACTTTGTGACTATCACACAAGCCATTCGATGGATTCAGTCCCCAACGACCCTCGATAAGATCGAGGAMTTTAAGCCTTGGAAGTGCGACTCACCACCACCCCCTCCGGCATGTACCAAAGCCGAGGAAAACGTCTGTCATTACCCCGCACAGGGTTCTTTATCCGAGCAYTGGCTTCATATGTGTACAAAACCATGCCCCCCGCACTACCCGTGGGTGGGGAACCCTGATGGTAACTAATAGCAACCAAGTATGGCTTAAGAAATGGTCTTAATGACCCAATTAGTACAAAATAGGTGCTTAAATATGTTAATTGCTTCGTTTCCTATTGTTTTACTGTTTTTCTAAAGTGCAAAGAATAAAATATGAATAAAAATATAAATAGAAAATAAAATATGAAAAATAGCCGATTATCTTGTTATTCAAATGCGTGCTTTATTTTATTTACATTCACACCAAAACCCACCAGTCTTTTTATATTATTTTTGTAGTTTTATCTAGTAAATACCATTAGCTATATGGTGACATATTGATAGAGTATTTTTCTAGCCAATGGGAAGTTACCACTTGCTCTGTATATAAGAGAAAGATTGAACGCTGCTTCTCTATGAAGATCATGCTTTTCTGAAACCTGTTGAAAAATAGAATGCTGAGATGAAAATACAATAGTAGAACTCCTGATTGATCTGTACGTCCCATGATTTTTACAAAAATCTCTGTATGGTTTTACCTTTGAACTACCATCAGTAGATGTTGAATAGAAAGGACAATCCAAGGCTTTCTTGTAATAATGGACAGCAAAATGTACAAGTCCTGAAAAAAAGCCATTGAATACATTCTTTTTAGTAAGTGCAAAGAGCCAAATGCAAGGAATCATCGGTTCATATATGCGTACTCGGTTACATGAATGGACGAGGCGGATTTTTGACTTTAAAGGGCTACTTGGACGAAAATTGCGAAATATTAGAAAATACTTGGAAATCAAATAGACCTATCCATATGGGTCTAATAATCATGAAGCAACAGATTTCAAGAAGATATTGATACAAATCCTTAATAATTAGGTTAAAATTGTTGGAGTAGATGACGTCATTTACTCCATCCTTTTGTTCTTCCATCTTTTGAATCAAAATTTCTCTGATGTGGGATAATTCCAAAACAAATATTTTCCCACAATTGTTTTTAAAAGATACAAATGAGTAATATATTCGTATTGCTTGAAGTTTTGAAATAAGGCCATTTTAATGCAAGAGTAGCAACACCGCATATGTTTTACCTAATTGATGAAATGATCTCGCTATGTTGTAGTAGGGTTCTTGGCATTCACCTCTCAAAGCAAGATATTGGAATAAGAATAGAAAACCCTGTAATTGCAAAATAGAATGGTTGATAAATCAGCATGAACAGCTTTTACATTATAAGTCTTGCCGCACGGACCAAGCACATCGAGTCACATGATAAACTAAAATGAAACCGCAACGAAAATCGGAAACTATGGACTACAGCAGCGCAGGCACTAACCTGTACCACAATCATATGGCGTCCGCGAGGAAACTTTTGACTCGCAAGATGAATGTACTGTATTCCAAGGCATAAGCTTAGGAATGGATCTTTTGGATCTTGACGAAAAGCACTCGTGTACTCCGCTATCGAAAAGAAATACAGTTGTTTGCAATGAAAAGTCTACACATAACAAGTCAAGTGTTCCCCGAAGGGGGGTGGGGATGGTTGTAGATGTGAATGTCACAGTAGAAAGAATGACAGTGAGTGACAACTGTATCTTCTTTCGCGCCTATGGAAACTGAAATATATTATTACAAGCTATTCGGTATCATTTCGATGTGAAGTTAATGTTTCCATGAAACAGGAGATGTTAACATAATACAAGGAAAAGACTGCAATAAAAACCTACCTATAGCAAACTTGTAACTCCCAGCCATAAACGCATTATGACCATTCATAATAAATAAATTAATATTATCAGGATACTTATGGGATAATCTCATGCAATAGCGATGATGTCGAAGGTCCTCTGTACGACATACTACTGCAGACAAGATATTCCACATCATCTGACTCCCTATGTGGTTGCTCAGACTATTTCGAGCGTAGTCAAATGCCAATTTATATTTGTTGGTTAAACATGAAGCTGCTATGCTCATGAACTCAAGTTCTTGTTGATAATCTTTGCAGTTAGTTAACCGATGTGAATTGAGCCCGCACAACACGAGGTGCTCAGCGTCATGATGTCGTTTGATGGCCGACGCTTGGATTATAATCTAAGAGAAAATAGTAGTATCTATCAATACGCATTACGCATGCGCTACTTTTCTTTCAAGCCAATCCCACATGGATTATTGCTTCAATTCTCATGCGATTTTGCTCACCTTTTTCAACACGTCCCACAATTTCCGCGAGAAAAATAGTAGTATCTATCAATAAGCATTACGCATGCGCTACTTTTCTTACCAAGCCTATCCCACATGGCTTATTGCCTCACCTTTTTCAACATGTCCCACCATTCCTCGACACGTATCCCAGTGTCGTCCTGCGACCGTGCTAACGACCCACCTAATAAAAAGTATCATTGCAACATATCAGTTTGTATAAATCGCATCACATCGAACCAAATCGCTTCTTATCATATTATGTAGTATGGAATCGAACGACGTCGTATCCGACAAGTTTTTGTACCTGATTCCTCGTTAGCAGCTCGTTTCTTTTCTCTTATAGGACGTCTTTTCTTGATCTTATCGGAAACACCTAAAACAACACCCTCCATGAAGACAGGAGAACTGATAATTTATTGTAAAAAACTTTGAAAAACATACTTGATTCTTGTCCTTTCTCTTGTTTTGATTTAGCAGAAATCTTTTTAGCTCCAGTTTTCTTTCGCAATTTCAAACCAGGGTACTCTTACAATACAATAAAATACTTATCAACGATGCTCGTAAAGTAGTAGGAATTGCTGCGATTTGTATGATTTGTTTTTCAATTCAATATTAATTCAATATATTCTCCTTCACGGTTACTGCGTCATGTTGAATGGTAGCCTTGCCTTTACATCGAAGCGAGACAACCGTTGAGTTTGCAATGATAGATATCTGTGAATAATTGATCGTTTTCACCCATTCCCATGAGATTCAAAARATAAAAGACCGGCGGCCATGTTGGAGGAATGAACAATAGATACTAATGAGAAATCCTTTGTTAAAGTTCCTCCAAGATGGCCGCTGTGACGTAACATGCAAACCAATAATTGTCTGTAGGTGTGTGCAAGAAGGTTTCTATCATTGTACGTTCAAAGGTCGTCTCGCTTCGATATAAAGGCACGGCTACCTTTCAAGATGGCGCAGGGAACCGTGAAGAAGACTATTCATAAATTACATACTTTCATCTTCATCAGGCACGTTGAAGTAAACATCACGGAAATACATCGAGAACAACTGAAGACCAGCATCGACGAAATCCTGAACGCGACTTTGAGATTCAAGCAAAATGCACTTATGGAACATTAAACGAAAATCCTACAAAACCAAAAAGAATGGGAAAAAATTAAACAGAGTAAAAGGTATTTCGTTTAAAGCATTTGTAACATTTCTGTAACTAACTTGACTTATTTACGCACTCTTGTCTGATGATAGCCCGATAACATAACGACCGCTAGATGAATCAAACCCGACAACTTACCGACAAAATCCGACACACCCAAAAATTAACAGCAGTGACACTGGTGAAAAACGCACTGCGCATGTCCACAGCTTTCCCGCCAGTGAGCGCTCGCGTCTTGAAATCTGCCTATTTTATTTGTAAACAGAGGACCTTTTGTGAAAGTTTTTTACAATTTATAAGCTCGTTAACCGATATATAAGATTCATATTTCTATCAATCTTTGTTCATGATAGGTTCTTTTATTATGTAGTTTCTATCTTTATCTTGTCATTTCTAAAAATGAGGTTTTTCGTAGTGTTTTCTGTGTTAAATTAGGCAGATTTCAAGACGCGCGCGCTCACTGGAGGGAAAGCTGTGGACAAGCGCAGTGTGTTTTTCACCAGTGTCAACAACAGTTTTTACTCCGACGAAGGATTAACATCCGAAACGTCAGTAAGTTATTTCCCATACTTTTTTACGGTGTTAAACTTATCTTTTTTACACAACTGTTTCATTAGAAACACCGACGCAGCTCACACTAGTTTACCGCTAGTTCCCACCATTCAACAACAGTTAGATATACAGTGCGATAATCACCCGACAACTTACCGACAGCAGTTGGATATAAACCCGATAAAGTCCGATATTCACCCGATAACTTAATGAAAGCAGTTGGATATGTTGGATATACACCTGGTAACAGTCCGATACTCAGCCGACAACTTACCGACAGTAGTTTCATGCTAAGTGAATAAATTGAATGCAATATCAATTAAACGATACCTGGGGTTTAAAGTCATCTTTTTCTTGATCAGCATCCATTGGTTCATCTGTTTCATTAGCCGAGGCTGCTTCTGATGGTATTGATGAAAACATCCCTTGGTCATTGGATCGGTCTGAAGAACAAATGGTAATTTGARTGCAACTACACTAACACTTTTTCATTTTTTCATTTACAAGTTAAATTGATAAATGGTATCGTTCCTCCATCTATCCATTCCTTCTTTCAATCATTTATTTATTCATTATCCACTTATAACATTTATTATCCATCCATTATTTCTTTATCCTTTTGTTCATGCATCCCAACATTCATTCATTCTTCCACTTAATTAATAATCCATCCATCAATTACAGTAACTACCTCATGGATAAATACATTCATTTAGCCCTTCACACACCACACATAAATCCATCCTTCTACACATCAATTCACTCATTCATACATTAATCCTTCATAACTCATAATTCACCAGTCCCTTACCAGAGAGAATATCAAGAGCTTGYTCAGGTTGTCCAAGCTGTTGATGTAGAGAAGACAATGTCAATCTTGCCTCWAGGTGGTTGGGAGCCAGAGTGACAACTTGATTATACGCCATGACACCCTCTTCTAGTCGACCTAATGACAGGAGACACTGGGCTTTTTTCAACCAAACGGCAGCCTAAAAATGACAATTGATYGTTTTCAACCATTCCCATGAGATTCAAAAGATAAAAGATTGGCAACCATGTTGGAGGAATGCCACAGATACTAATGAGAAATCGTTTCTTAAAGTTCCTCCAATATGGCGGCTGTGACAGAATAGACATTAAATTTCAAATACATTAATCCCACTGTATATGACCAGTCCTTAACTTACTGAGAATTACTGGGAAAAATGCAATAATATTTCAATAATACTAGGCGTCTCTCTAAGATGTAGACATTTTGTCTGTAATGTCATTGCTTGTTTCTTATGCATTGTTTGATAGTCAATACTACCTGATTGTATTTAGCTGATAGAACAAGAGTGTCAAGGATWGGAAGAGCTTCAACATGTTCACCTAAAAACACATGTAAAATATAGTGACTATCACTACCTAGTCCAGAGTTATGTAGATATACTGCATATACTATACCTGTTTCAGCGTATGCTTCCGCAATATCAAGATATAAATCGCCAACTTCATCTATATTTTCTTTAAATAACGGTGACATCAACGTCTAACAACAAATACATTATATGTGAATTATTACTTTGTTGCAATCAGGATTCATCATTAAACATTATAAATAGTTGATATGGTTTAGTTATATATCAGTCGATACAACGGCCTTCATCAGAAATGTTTTGTCACGCTGAAACATCTGTTATATAGTCATGAAAAACAAGTCATATGCAACTGTTTATAATGTTTAATATTGTACATTGTAAGTGGGTTTGTAATAAAAACACTACCATTTTGTATTTMTTTTTGTATAGTTCTCCATTGAAAGTCCTTACCTTGACTGGGAGGAGCTCGTGCAGATTTATCAGACACACTATAGCTTTGACTCTGATGTCAATAGGAACAGACTCAGGTACCACCCACTTGCCTCTTGATGGCAGACTGGGAATGGAGCTGTTTACAACTTAAAATCAAAATCAAGATAGTCAAAAATTGATAATTGCCTGTTATAATGTTGGTTTAGATTGCGAAAAAAAACTGTCCAAATCATTTGGACATTTTTTCACTAAGTAGCTTGGTGCATGAGCTACTGACACATGAATGTTAAAATCCACTGCAAAAATGGGGACAGTTTATAGTTATACAGACTGCCAAAAAGCTGACAAAATCATGATTGTACAAAAGAAAATTCTCAACAAAATTTAATGTGTTCTCACTTTTAGATTTTTKTGGTGAGTTGTTGATATCATAACCCATGAGATTGGAAAATGATGAAAGTGGTTCCTCTTGATCATGGCTTTCTTCGTCTATTGACTCTTGAGTAAATTTACAAACAGTACAAATATGCTGAAACACAAGAAATCATTTAATCAACCACAGTACAGTGCAAGAAGGGAAGTAACACAGGAAGCCCATAATGGATAAACAACAATGGCAACTTTTTTTATAGGTATAACATTTCACATACCGTGAGTGCTAATGAGTAGTGTTTTGCTGCCATGTGAAGCTCTGCTAACAAATTGATTGCTTTAAGAAAACAACAAAATAAGAATTAACTGAGTAATGACGAATATCTATCAGCATCAGAAATGTATTTCTGATATGCTTACCTCTGTAGTCCAGGAAATCAGGATATTTTTCAAAAGCAGCAGTCATAGCTTCGATGGCCTTTTCAAGGCAAGAGTCCTCATGATAGATCTATGTAATGGAAAAATATCTGATTGATTGACTGTTACTTTGAGTGTATTCATCATAGTCACAACTGTTGACACCAACCGTTGCTATCTCTATGGAAACTTCAAAAAACCTCTCTGTGCACTCTACTGGAAGTAGCTGCAAAAAAAATACAAAAACTTATTAATAATAGAGTTTAAACTCTTGATTAGTTCACAAGCTGATACATCTAAAGTATTCAACATCTTTTCACAAACAAAAAAAACAAATAATTTTTAGATGGTAATTATATCAAGGCTCTAACCAGTACAGACACTGACTGACACAGACTTACCTTCAATATGGATTCATATCCATCAGTCGCTTTCTTATGTTCTTTCATTTGGTAATATAATGCTGCTCTATCCCAAAGAACACTAATATTCTCTGGATCATTCTTTAATGCTAAGATTTATGATAAAAAAACTTGTAAAAAAGTGTTTTTTCTTTCTTAGATTGCATGATTTCTGCTAATGACATTTGTTACTTATGAGACATCTTGAGTAGAATAGTGAAGTCATACCTTGATTATAGCATGCTAATGCTTGCTTGTAGTCATTCTGTTCAAGAGACATGCCAGCAAGCTTCAACCACTCCTCCACATCACAAGATTTACTGAGGTAGGCTGATATTAGAAAGAACTGTCCAGAAAAAGTTATAGAAAAGTRTAAATTACTACATTATTTAATCATATTAATTACGTTAACTGGTCTCTGTTACTAAAATGTTGAGATTTGAAGTCCTTAAAAAATGTAGATGTCAAGTGTTTTATGCTATTGTGCTAAGCATTACTTAATGTACCTGGAGAGCTTTGTCCATTTGATCCTGCATTTCACATATCATTCCTAGTGTCTGGAAAGGTTCTGGACATTTTGGTACTGCAGAGACAGATGAATAACTTTCAGTACAAAATTGAAAGTAACAATTCAGTTTAATTAAATTATTAATAAATATTATTATTGTTTACATATTATAAAATTATTATTGACATATCACAAGCAGAGAATGCAACAATMACCTTGTTTTATAATRTCCATRCAAATAGCCTTYGCYGTCTCATAGTCTCCCTTGGCACATAGAATATTAGCTCTWCCCATCTGTTGCCTTAGCTTGTGAGGGACAGCATTTCTTCTGGACCTTCGACCCCTGCGTTTCCTTGACAATGGAATGTCTGCCAGGAATTCATCAACTCCAGTGCCTCGATTCTTCTGTACTTTCTTTGCTGCTGGGAGATCTAGAAGTAGTTCTGTCATTTTCTTTGGTGCTTGGACTTCAGAGTTCTTATTTTCTTGACTATCTTGATTGAGAGACATTGGTTCATTTTGATTTRATTCCTCCATTTCCTTATTGTCTGCAAAGAAAAAAACTTCAATCAACAAGCCATAGATTGGTGTATGTACTCCCTTCCTTTTGTTGGGCTTCCTGTGCTTCCCACTTAGACATTGTCCACTCCCTGGCTGATTTCAAAAGTTTGGAATGGTAAGTTTAATGAAGGTACTGTACATTTTCATTAAATATATTAACACTGAATCCAGATCTTGCTAAAATCATTCTTCATTAATTTCACAAAGCTTAATTTGTATTAGATTGCTTCACCCTTTCTATGAAGATTTGTTTTGACATTCCCAATATGCCATATGGAAAGAAACCTGTGCCTTTACATCAAAGCAAGATGATCAGTGAATGTGCACTACTAACAAAAACACCTACAAACAACCATTCGCATATATCTATTATTGCATCCTCACTGTTTGTCTTGCTTAAAATCAAAAATTTTACAAGGAACTGTTTATAATTAAAGCTTATCTTGCTGCTATCTGAAATGGTAAAAGATGTCATTGAAAATGAACATGCCTGACACATACCAGTTGGCTGCTCATTGTCATAAGTAGCTTCTCCACCACTATCATCATCATCATCATCATCACCCTCATCATCATCATCCTCATCGTCATCATCTTTCAATAATTTCTCCAGAATGTCTGTTGTACACTTGTCGGTATCCGAGTCAATTTGCATTGATTTTGTTTCTGCGCCCACTTCCAGCCATTCAAACACTGATATTTCTCCATTCAAATAGCGCATAAGTGATTCTGAACTTTCCTCAGTCATCTCAGAGGACTTTTTACGGGAGTATTTCAAACAAAACCTATGTTATTTAAATTTTTGCGCCTTTTCTTGTGGAGCAACCTCCTCTTCCATGCGTCCATCTTTGTTTTGACGAACTCGATGATACTCGACGACATCCCGACGATATCCCGACAAACCGATTGAAGGTCGACGGTAATCCGAATTTTGGGATCTTCCAATGCATTGTGGATGCTTTGCCACATTCAACGCCATCTGCGAAGTAAAAGACTTGTTCTCTCTTCGAGATGTCGCACAGTGCGAGAGTTTATATCGGTAATCTCGGAGATAATGCCTCCAAAAGRGAGATTGAGAAAGAATTTGAGTATTTCGGTCCCCTAAAGGATGTTTGGGTGGCGCGAAATCCTCCGGGTTTTGCGTTTTGTATCTTTGAAGACAAGCGAGACGCCGAAGATGCAGTTCGGGAGCTCGATGGAAAATACATTGGCGGCGAGAAAATACGCGTAGAAATGGCTCGTGGACCAACCCGTGGTGGAAGAGCTCAGCGACTAGGACTTACTGAGAAGTGCTACGATTGTGGCAGGGTCGGCCATTTTGCTAGGGATTGCACTCGAAGAGGCCAGCGGCGAAGGTACAGTAGTCTAGTTCGCCATCTTGAAATGTATTTAGTCAATGAAATTGTCTCAAAACTTCGTACTGATCTGAGAATAAGATGTTATCTCTACCCTTTGAACTCGTTATCGGTAACTATAATTCTGTACGATATGATAATACTCTCTGATCCTTTCGATTAAAGCAGTTTCTACTCAAGCCAGGGAGTTTCCAAAAGCGCGCGCTCGAGTGAAAGTCAACGCGGAAGATAAAGCTTGTCGAGATGATAAGCATAGTCTGCACTGACTCGTRTCAGCATCACCCATTTACAGTGATCTGTACTTCCTTGTTGCTTAGTGATTTTTTTCCAGGGAAAAAATGAAGTAAGAGGAACATCATGGGCATCCAAAAGTCGAAAAAAGAACGCAAACAGTTATCTCCGTTTGTTAATAATTCAAATCTTTGTGAAAGATAAAAAGACGTCCATTTGTGCAGTAGCGAGAAAAGGTCTTTATGAAATCCATGTGAAATACATTGCATTTTGGTTCTTGAATCATTTCATATATATTTKGAAGAAATCTTCTATACAGCTGAGCTTGCTACCAAAACCAAAAAACAAAGTGTTCAAATTTTAATGATGAATGTAGGCTGTTAATTACTATTTCGCAAACAGCTTCATTGGTTCATCTCATCTCTTCAGTATGTTAATTTGTGAACAGCTGCTCAAAAAGAAATGTGCATCTCAGAATGGCCAATGAGAATCCAAATCCCATATGCTGTGTATTTCAAGTACAGTATTCCACTTGAGATATATGATTATTCCCAATTGGGCTGCCTGTTTTAGTCCAAGACCTTTTAAATTTCTCAAAAAAGGAATTTTCTGTCAAATGTTGTCCTGTGAAAGTTCAACTATAGGTCTGACCCTGTATTTCATGTCAAAATTGGTTAACTCTCAACATATTGTATCAATTCAGGACAGATATGTTATGTGAATTGTTGACGTGACGGGGGCAAACTACCCACTGCCTACTAGCAGCGCGTTCTACATCTACGTTGCCAAATAGCTACTCATTGCACCTGAGAGTTATCAACAACATTGTCTCGTAAAGGTGTGGCCCATCAACCCCCGTCATAGGTTTTCGACTCTCTACGATCTTCAGAGAATTCGATTTTCTACCTGCCAACGCTTGTCGCTCACATAACTTGCCATGCAAAATGTTTTCCTATGAGTAAGTACTGTAACTGCTACTGTTGCGCAAACTTGRGGGTAGTATATGTAAACAAAATGAGTGAATTTGGAGTGAAGGTCAACTATCAGACTAAAGCATGTRGTGTTCACTTCTCCCCAAACATAGCATGGCCAAATGGGTGGGCTTTTCCTTAACAAACTACATTTTATTCAGCAATTGTAGTTTTMTCTTAGTTTTGGCTTTACTTGATAATCTTAAATTATCATTAACCGTAACATTASTCATAACTAATCAATATTAAACAATAATTGAACAAGTGGTTGGCAGTGCCAGGTTGAATTGTTGGTATTCTTCAGTTGAAAGTTATAGCATGATAATAATAATAATAATGCTTGTTTTAAACTATCGTAAACCTTTAAATTGTTTCTTGTCACCGTGAAAAAGGTAATTCAGTCCAATTGTTTTCAAAGATGCATAAACACTTCCCAATAATACTGGCAAGGCAGCAAAACATGTTTTAACATTTGAACTGAAACTWTTTCAGCTTTCTGAAATTCTTTCAGTTTTAAGTCAGACTTGTTTGGATAAGCAAACTATTGAAAATAATTTATTTGAAAAGAAAAWTTAAAATAAATCTAAACAATAATATGTATTCATGAAAATACATCAATACTAGTGATAAACTATCTGATTGTGTTTTTTTTAGACATTTAAAAGTTWAGAAAACAAGAAATTTAACAAGTTTTTATCAATGAAAAAATTATGGTCTTTAACAGGCTGTTTCTTCAGATCTTTTTTATAAGAAAACAATGTACTATTGTGTTGCATTATGTTTAGGGTGTGAAGCATGTTTGAGAAAATTTTCATGAAATTTKTKTCAARTAAATGTTTTTGATTTYTAGGTCTAGATCCAGGTCTCCACCTCGCAGGCGCTACCGCTCAAAAAGCAGGTATGTGAAATTAAGTAAAAAAAATTAACTCGCACTTATTACTCATATAAAAGCTACTTTTTCAGTAAGAGAGTAGTTTCAAGAAATGATTTTTTATAATCTTGTACAGGTCAAGGTCTCCACCTCGTAGACGTTACCGTTCAAGAAGCAGGTCACCAAGGTAACCCAGCACATATCAGAGTATAAGTTTGTCCTTTCAAACTTTAAATCCATGTCTTGTTTAATAGATGCAACTTAAACTATTGCTGGTAAGTGACTAGACAGTGTTAATGACTTTTTGAACATTTCAGACAAAGAGGGTCTCGTTCACGATCCTTTGAAAGAGAAAGAAAATCAAGRTCAGCATCTCGCTCTCCATCTGCGGAACGCAAGGAGGGAAGCAGGTAKTATCAATTTTCTTTCCAWTCCCACCTWAGATCTYCCTCATTGTKGRTGCTSTCTCTCGTAGGTCCCGTTCAGCTTCTCCAAGACCAGAAAGACAAAGTCCCAGAGATAATGGAGAAGTAGCAAAGTCGCCCAGCAAGTCTCGCAGTCCTTCCCCAGCACCACAGAATAATGAAGATGATGATTGATTTCATTTGCTTCAACACTACATTATTTTACCATTTTTTAACTTTCTATTTTTGAATATATTTTTTTGTTCCCCAGTGGTTGATCTACCACTGCTAAGTTCAATACTTCCTGACACATATTGATTTTCTTTTATCTGTGAAAAAAGACTTYAGAATCATTTCCTTTTGGGTTTTTAGTCCCAACTAGATGGTCTCTTTCAACAGGAGAGTTGGCAGTTGCACATACATGTAGATCTTACTGCTTGTCTAGTGCAGTTCATCTCGTGAAATGCATCCTGGCATTTTCAAACCTCAACTTGTTAAACCTTTCTTTATTTTGAAAATTCCAGGATTTTCATATTATCCACCTTTCATTTGTAGCATTTTTGTAGGGTTTTTTTATTCTCTATTTTATGGTGATTTTCTGTGATTTGTGAAGTGTGAAAAAGACTTTGTCCTAATGATGAAACACCAAGTCGAATAGTTTGAAGTATTAGCCTTACTTTCCCCTCAAAGCCAACAGAAAATCACTAAGAAAATCCTGAAACAAAGCAACTTATATTCTTGCTGTAGATCTGAATATCTACTGCTATATCAATGAAAACTGCAAAGTTTAATTGGTGTTATAAGAAAATCAATCGGCATTAGTTTTAAACGTAAACTTTGTAAAATACTTTGATGTTCACAATTAAAGACTTCGTCAAACTAAGAACTCAGTGTCTAGTCTTAACATACTAAATTTATTCCTAAATAGTAGCATATATACATTTAAGCAGACAGTTTGTACTGTTGTCCTTAGAGATGTATGGTCTGCCTTTGGTRTYCCTKTGTTGTTKCAAAAGAGGAAGAKTGGTAATAGTTTTCATCTCAACACAGGWAATCCAAAACAGCTTGATGAAAAGTGTTACAATGTGCTTAAGCTAAAAATGACAAGTGTCATGTTACAATCAGCTCGTCGATTCCCCAGTCCTCATGACTGCCRTCAGGAAGATAGCGTCTGATTATGATAGGGATTTTTCTTGCTCTATCAAAATAAAACAAAAGTTATTAGTTTTGTTATTTAGTAGAGGCATTTTAACAATTTTATGACTACTTACTTTAACTCTTTTAAAGCTATTTGTAGTGGGTCTGTTTCACCTTCCAGCTCCACCATAACTGGAGCTCCCATACTGMAAATATAGCCAAATGTCAAAAAAGCCTGATATCAAACACTTAGTTGTATGTGCATTGTGGTCAAAATTGGACAAAACTTTCAAAAGAGCTGCAAGTTAGACTGACCTTATTTGGAGTGCTCTTGTCCCCAGTACTCTTGCTCTCTCATACTTTGTCATGTATGGTGTGGTTATTCTTTTGGCTGGTTCTAAGTTTTCATCTAAAATTCAGTAGCATATGTTTAGGACATTTCATTGGGGGTTACTTTTAGATTCATGGAAAATGTGCCAGCTTATTGACAATGTCTAGTTAAAAGACAACACAAACCTTGAGCTGGTAGAATATCAATGTTTCCTGTCTCATCTGTAGGCTAGAGGTTGATAATAACAGTGAGCTATCTGAATGAATTTTACACATTTCACAATCAAATTAATGAAAGTTTACATAATAATATAATTAACACATATCTAAACCAAAACAAACTCACTTCAAGTTCGTCTACATCCTCAAGAGGTTCTTCTTCTTCGACTTCGTCCAAGTCGTCATCATAACTATGATTATATACACAGCAAATAAAAAAATTGGCAATGCAATTCGGAACATGAATCAAGGAAAAGTTGACCATACTTTCGCGTGTTCAATTCCGTTTCAAAATTTTTCTTTCATACAGAAAATGTGATTCATGACATGCACTATTCATTAAATAACTAATTCCTATAATTTAATTGAAAGTCACGCAAATAAATGCGTTTCCATAAAGATTTAATACTTACTCTCCCATATCCTCGTCCGCCATTTTGGAAGGTTTGTGTGTGAAATGAGCCCACTAAATATTTGGCATGCGGTTTAAATACAAAGGGATCCCAAATTCCAAATCACTTTTGGAAAACGTTAGATTGAGCTAAAATACAAATAGTAATTGTTGATTATTTTAGATAGGATATAGTAAGTGTGGGTACTGGTTAATTTCAAGAAAAATTATTAGATTCTATTAGAAAATATTTAATAGGACCTAGTCTCCACTCGGCCTCAGCACGTGTATCATTTTCAAGATGGCCGACAGCACTTTAACATTTGAAGGATGCAATTATTTTCGTCTTCGTCTCGTTCTAGCGACTCTTAGCAATCGTCCCGTAAGAATAAAGAATATTAGAACTCAAGATGATAACCCTGGGCTAAAAGGTGAGTTCATTTRCGCAAATATCAAGAAGAAAATATCTTACCAAAGAAAATAAACAAGTTTTTATTTTTGTTTCGTGTTTTAGATTTTGAAGCCAGTTTCATCAGATTAATGGATAAGCTAACTAATGGTTCCCACATTGAAGTCAACGAAACAGGTAAATTTACAAGAATAATAAATATCTGATAAAAATTGAAAAAGTGATGATTTGAATCTCACCAAATATTATAAATCATTATCAATAAACATATATTAAAGTAATATTAAAACTGTCATTATAAGCTTATAAAGTACATTGAAAGGGAACAGTAATCTCAATAACTGTCATTATACACAGTAATATAAGGAAATGAAAAAGAAATGATTTCTTAAAAATAATGAGCATCCTGGGGGATACCTTTGAAAAAACCTAATCAATTTTTCAATTTGTTTTCCTTTGTGTTTTTTTTCTAGGCACAAGTTTATTTTACAAGCCTGGTCTTTTAGCTGGAGGAACCATTGATCATGAATGTAATCCACAAAGGTCAATTGGATATTACCTTGAAGGGGTTGTCATGTTAGCTCCATTTTGTAAGAAACCACTCAGACTTACCTTGCAAGGCATAACAAATGATGGGTTTGACCCTTCGGTAAGTTTTCTTTTTACAACTTTATTGTATTTGCATTAGATTTGATCAAATGTGTTTCTTGTCTGTAGGTTGATGTAATAAAAACAGTCACAATACCCTTAATGAAAAGATTTGTGGTTGATGATGAAGGTTTTGATATTAAAGTAGGTATTCATGAACTTTCTAGAATTGCATAATATTCACATAATGCATAAAATTATTATTCTTTAGATAAGCAAGAGAGGTAGCCCACCTGAAGGAGGTGGACAGATTCTTTTCACATGTCCTGTTCGTAAGACTCTTAGACCTCTTCAATTTACAGATCCAGGAAAAATAAAAAGAATAAGAGGTTTAGCGTATCCTTGCATGCAAACATTGCCAGCAGTTACATGTACCAGTACGCAAAAATGTCTTCCATGTCATAAATAACCTTAACATCAATCAGTTATGCTACAAGAGTATCGCCTGCCATGGTGAATCGAGTTGTTGATGCTACTAGAGGTGTATTGAACCAGTTTGTGTCCGATATTTACATTTACACTGACCACTGTAGAGGACAGCAAGCAGGAAAGTAAGACACCTCACTTGACAAATGGCATTTTTGTAATATCTTTCTGACTTGTTGTCCAAGAACACAATAGGTTTCTTTCACATTTATTTTCTTTTCATTTTCTCTTCCCAGACAGTTCCATATCTTCTCTATATATTTCCTTCTTTCCTTTTGTTTTACTTTCTTTTTTAGTGAAATTTGTTGCTTCCTATATTATTCCCTTCTTTCAAATCCATTCAATCATTCCCATCCCATTTTTTTTTCATCAATCCATTTTCTATTGGTTATTAGGTCATCTGGTTTTGGTCTATCACTAGTAGCAGAAACAACAAATGGTGCTCTTCTCAGCTCACAAAGGTCATCCAACATTGCAGGAGTGGGTGAACCAACAATTCCTGAAGATCTTGGTAGAGAAACAGCCAACAAACTACTGCTAGAAATATACAAGGTAGCCTTAAAAGCACACTCATCTCTGAAATGATTAGCTCTAAATATCACAAGAATGATGCTTAAACTATAGGAAAATACTAGAAGTGAAACAAAGCCCTTAATGATAATGTTGCTGTTTCATTTCTGAAATTATACAGTCAAGCAAAAACAAGCAAAGTACAAGCAATGTAAAYAAGTCCTCATACCTGATCCATGATGCACAGCTGCAATGCTAAGTTTTATTATACAATAAACCGTCATTTCATGTTAATAATCTTGGTTCTTAGGGTGGTTGTATTGATTCAAGACATCAAAGTATTGCTCTATTATTCATGGCTATGGGTCAACCTGATGTATCAAGAGTTTTAACGGGACCATTAACACCCTATACGTGAGTAATTATACTATGATATACATCTACTTCCATGAATGCTGTACAGAGATTTTACAAAATATATCAATAAATAAATAATCATGATTTCTATTGTAGGATCCAGTTTCTTAGACATCTCAAAGAATTTACAGGAGTCATGTTCAAGATTCAAACTMAAGACAAAGACTCTGAAGATGATAGCAAAACAGGAGGGAAAACTCGAGTCCTTTTGTCATGTGTTGGCATGGGTTTTACCAATGTTAACAAAGGAATTATTTAAAATTTTTGTATTAAATATTTGGCTAATGATAATAAAATTTCAATTGAATATTTATTTTGCGTTTGAATGTCATTTATTGTAAACCATTCAGATGGGATGGGAATGTCAAGTCTCTCCGCAATTTGGCTTGAGCTGCCACTTGAGTCTTACTCACAGATTCCTATGCATGGCTTTCAACAAAGACGCTTGCCATGAAAAATATCTGCGAAATGTTGTCTATACATGTGAAAGGTTTTTATAATGACAACATCGCTGGTTGTATTGTTTAAGTCATCGCTATCTTATCAAAATGGCCGTGATAACATGAATATGACAATTGCAAGGACTTGGAATTTTGAAATCCTTTCTGTAACATTTTCAATCATTATCTTGATTACATGTTTTCTTTATCTCTTTGTTCCAATTGCTTTTGTAGTTTGATTTGCTCTTTTAGTTCTTCCATATTTCTTTTCTTTCTTTCTTGTCTTTCTAAATCCCTCTCTACTCCTTGCCTAAGTCTTTGTCGATCTGCAGTCTGCATTTGATGAACTAGCACGGTGATTGTCACAGCAAATGTGAATGCTCCTGCTATAGCAATCTTGGAACCCAACGATGTCATCCTGACAAATTGTCTGAGTTATYATAACTCAGATTAATGAAACTGAAAACCAAAAACTGATTGTTTTTATAGTGCTTTGGTAGTATTATGAACTGGCTAAACCCCACAACATCATTCAAACATTGTAATCGCTTACAAGATTCACTAAGTAAGCTCTTGTATTACTATTTTAGCCATCTGAGGAGCAGGTTAGCTGATATACTTTTGGAGAGTTTTAAGAAACTTACGAGACAAATCCACGCATCTACTTACCATTATCATGAAAAATTATCAAATGTCACAATTGTCGACTATTGAAATCTTTTCACGGATATATATGATAAAAAAGACAGTTTAGTGTACCAACTGATAATCACGTTGTGATGAATTGGTCAGCCTGTGATAATTATGGACGAAAAAAACTGGGTCATAATTACGTAATCATATTSATCTCCAGTCTTTTTGCAAAGGAAATTTCAAAATGGCGATGGAGGGAAACATTTCTTGTTCGCCATGTAAAAGACCTTTAGAAAGCAGTAGTAATGGGAATGCTGTCGGGAAAAAAACGAAATACAGGAAATATCCAAGTTACACAAAGGAGCAAATTGCTGAAGCTCGGAGATGGTGAGTAAAAATGTCTAAAATACATAGACTGGCTTTGGGCTGACTTCAATGCAAAGTTGTTAAAACTTAATCACAAAATGCATATAGAGTCTACTAATCAGGTGTACGTACATCTTTATGATAAGTTACTGTCCAAAAACCGTTTCCAACACTCAAACAATGTTGCATCTACCAATTTTGCCAAATTATTATACTGCAATATCCCCCCCCCCCTTACTTATGATGATTTTTAACTCTTTTTTATCAGGATACTTGAAAATTACAAACCAACAACAAAAGATTCCTTTGTACCTACTGAAGAGATCAATAAGGCATTTAACAAAGATCATCCTACTGCAAACATGATCAAAAGCAGTGGTTGGATCAGAAGAATTATTATGCCTTTATGGGGAAAACAAGTTTACTATTCAAAAAGGTCTGTGTGTGACAAGAACATTAGAGTTCATGGATATGCAGGTTTGGCCAGAAAGACAACTGAGCAATTGGCACAAGAGTTAAAGTCAGTTTTGTCTATTCCTAAAAATGATCTTGTATTCCCTGGGTGGACAGTGGAATATTTTGAAGAGCCACCTGGATTACACTACAGAAAAACAATCTCAAATCTTTATCTGGATAAGCAGCCAATGAGAATTGAATTGAACTTGACTTATACTGAAGATAACCCAGCTACTGCAGATCATCAGTTTTTGAATAATTGCAAACTAAATGCCTCTATATTATGCCGTGGCGTTGTGGTTCAAGGCCACAAAACTGGAATTTGGGACAATAATAGTATCCCTACTTGGGAAAGAGTGAAAAATCTTCTTACTTTCTTGGACTCTTTGCCTATTTGTTTTGGGTTTGACCTGCCAAGTGAGTGTATTGATGAGTATTCACTTAGTAGAAGGAAAACCTTCACCCTTTATGAAAATATCAAGGACGTTTTGGCTGATAAGGGAAAGAAACGTCAAGTGTCAACTGAATGTGAGTTACTGCTAATTGCACCTGCATGCAAGGTGTGTAGCGCGTGTACCAGATTGAAATATTGCAAATATAAGAAGAAAAAACGACATCTAAAAGTAGATGAAAAAGCTGATAAACGTAAAAACCAAAGGTACATGTCGAGAGATGAACTTAAAACTAGTATGTACAATATTTTGCAAGAAAATGTTTTTCTTTCTGTACATTGTATTAGCAAGTTTATCTTTTTTTTTATTATTATTATTTTCTTAAGTTTATCTTATTCCTATGAACATAACTGGCCTCCTCAACTTAGGAACATTGACAACAAAATGAAAATCATCATCATCAACGGCAACATAATTAATTTCTGGTTGGTTACACATCTCATCCATGATGTCTAAACCCCAAATAGAAACATAGTTAAATAACTGCCAAAACGCAGACATGGGAGATAATGTCACAGCCAGYGAAGGGTCTTTTAGAAGTTCAGTTGTATTTTCTAGTATTTCCATAGGAACAAACAAAAGTACTGCTTCTTTAAGAAGRTCATGAGTTGCACTTAATGCATATGTTCCTGAGTCTGAGATGATTGGAGGAAGAAGACCTGTCTCACACATYARCAGAGAACCAGCAGAAGGAACAGTTGTGTGAGGACTTGACTGGCAAATTCCTTCATTTTCAATCGTTGAGTTTGTTGTTGAAGTTGTTGGTTGAGTTATTGTTGATGCAGATTCATTTTTATCTGAAAACTTTAAATTTACAGTACAGACATCAGGTGGTGGAATTATTTTTTATATTGACTCAAAATTCATGAAATGCATAAAGTAATGTTTTTAGTATTTCATAATTGCCATGTGTAGCAGATGGATAAATAGTTTTGTTATGCTAATTTGAAGAAAGAAGACAATAATTGTCCAATATGTAATCACTTCCATAATCCTGTAATAGCATAAATAATACATAATTTTGAATTAATGAAGGAAATACGAAAACAAATGTTACCTTATAAACGGGAAAAATCCATGAAATYACAGGGCTASTGAACAATCTSTCAGAAATTATTTTCCAAGTTATATTCGAAGCCTTCCAGAGCAGTKCTTTCACACTAGAATATGTTYTCAAATTTGKTGGTGGTTGGTCAACATGATTGCCATCCTCTGGCAGATATCCAAATAACGATTTCAACGTCGTCAACAACTCAMAATCCTGCAAACCTTCAAGAACTTTACTTTCGTGGCGTAAGAGTTCTAAAGACTGTCTCGTTATGCCAAAAAATCTATTGTCCAAAATATAAAAGTAAAGACGTGTAATTGCGAAGGCGTTCACTTTCTGTGTGGAAGAATCACGCACGGCCAGGTCGTCGTCATCTTGAGCTTCAYCTTCTTTATTTTCTACAACTGGTTGCATCTTTACAAGCGACCACCCATAACGCCAATATTTTGTCCACAATGCCGTATCATCCTTGCTGTACAAGATTTTGTACGGGATTAGGCTCATCATGTTGACAAATGAGCGAGGGATATCTAAGACTCGCGATAACAGCGAGTTTTCGCCAACTATAACCTCAAGTTTAGATTTCACATACAATGAAGCCACAGATAACGAAGCTGTCATGTTGCTTCARATGATTTTCACACAACCATGAACAGAAATATGAACAGAAATATTTTTTTCATGACAGAGACGACGGACAGGACAAAGCCTCCAGACCAACCTTCAGACCTGGTTACATAGCTATATAGCTATGTCCATATAACCTTTATAGAAACTAAAACTTGATTGGTCATTACCACAAAGTCGCAAAACCTTGTTACGTGTTGTGTAAGTTTCTTGATTTGAAAAGAGAACCGTGTATTCCATGTAAATATAGTAAAAGTACGAAGTAGTACGAGATTATTGGCAAGTTTTGTTCACAGAAACTACTTCATTAAAGTATCCTCATTATGGCAGAAGCAAAATCTGATGTTCTTCARCTAGATGGAAGTCTAATGGAGGGGGTATGTCTAATTTAGCCCTTAATAACGATCTTTGTGCAGTTTCTAAAGTTCAATTCAATTTCTGACAGGGAGGACAAATTCTCAGAAATTCCGTGACATTTGGTTGTTTGCTAAATCGAAAAGTGAATKTGTATAACATACGTGCAGGGAGGTCAACACCTGGGCTTAGACCACAACATATGACTGGTATTTACTAAATACTTCTATTTTTTGATATCTCCATTAATCCCTGCCATTCTTTTTCTATTCTATCCCATTTTTTTAATTTTCTCTTATTCTTTCTATTCATATGCAATAAAGCTGCATTTTATCCTAGTGTATTGTAATAGTTCAATATATATCTCATTCTGTCCATACTGTATCTTTGCGTCCCATTCTTTTGTATCCCATCCTGTTTCTATTCTACCATATTGCCCATATGTTTCAGTGTGACAAGAGATGTTATTCTTTCCTAAAGGCTTACAGCTGGTGCGTGATGTTTGTGGTGGAAAACTACAGGGTGATTCTGTTGGTTCTTCATCAATAACTCTTAGTCCATCGAAAATAATGTCAGGAAACTTCACTGCTGACACAAAGACTGCAGGGTTAAGTATTGCAGATGCATCAAATAACATTGATTGCAATCTTCTTTGCAAAGCTCATGTATAGATAATGGTTTGCGTGATTTAACAGGAGTATTTGCCTGCTGATGCAAGTAGCATTACCATGTCTATTATATGGACAATCAAGTTCAAGATTAACTCTTAAAGGAGGAACRAATGCCGAGATGGCTCCACCCATTGATTATATGATGGAAGTATGTCATTTATATTTAGGAATCTTTCCATATTTTTCATTGTCTTTCAGAAGAGACACAACCAATAATTTAGTGTATATGCTATTCATATACGTCAATGCAAATAAATCAATTTATATACAGCATTGTAACATTTGTTTTAGGTTTTCAAACCTGCCGCCAAACACTTTGGTGTTGAATTTGATGTTGAAATTGAAAAAAGGTAAGGATCAAGGTGAGATGAAACATCAAATTTTTAACAGTAGAATAATAATTATAAGGTTCAAAAATAGTACGATTTCAAGTTTTATACATTGAGATAATGATCATGATAAGATTCTTAACATTTTTTTCAAATCCTTTCAGGGGTTACTATCCAAAAGGAGGAGGAGTTGTTCATGTTAAGGTTAACCCTGTAAGACAACTCAAAGCTGTAGAGTTTGTAAAATTTGGACAAATTCTCAGATTCACAGGATTTGCATTTGTTGCTGGAGTTTTACCATATAAGGTATATGCTT